AGGATAACTCCGCCTAAACGAAAGGTGGAAAATTAAGCTTGAGTGAATCAATACGCTGCAAATGGCTCGCACTTCCTGATAGAAAAGATATATCATAAGAGGCCAGCACACTATATTTAAGTAATGAAACTGAATAAAACTCTAAGTAACATTAGAATGACCTATCTGCTTGCAAAGGATAGTAGTTCGGTGCCGGTATCGTAGTCACTGACCTAACCAAAATGCAAGGTATTTTTCTGTAAAATCCTTCATCTCTACGCGGTTCCCTCAGGCTTTTAAACTTTGCAGCCAGCTGGCCATAGGACAGATTATCAAAGGATCATTTTGATTACTATTTGTCAGTTTTTTGGTGTGAATCATAATTTCTTTGTCAAGTTAACATTTGTGGACAACTTGCATGCCAAATGGTATGTATGACATCCTGTATCATATCCTTCGAATAGGATTATAAAAAAATCTAACTGGTAAAAGTAATACTTGTGTTCGCACTAGGCGACCGAACTTCTATCGTTGCAGCAATAAAATTACTAGATAAAAACAAAACAGTGTGATTTTTTCAAGTTAATTATATCGTTAATATTGTTGTTATTATCATTATATATTGTATTAGGTGTATCGTGAGTCGAACGTACTGGTATGCAGCATCAGCTTCATAAACTACTTTTTCGTTGTCTGAGTTAGGGTGATTTAAGACGCCGTTAATGATGTCGGGTCAAATTTATAAAATTGGCAAACTATCACTTCTCAACTAATCATTGAAAGTTCAAGTTCAATGTCAAGTTTTCCACAAAGATCCTATATGTCTAGTATCTTATTGTATAATAACTGTTTCAAAAGAATGAAACTAACTGCACCACAAGGCCTAAAGGCGTAAGTCTCAAGAGTTCAGAATGATACGCGTTCATCTGAACTCTTTTAATAGCCGCGTCGCGTTTAGTCTGCGAATTCACACAAGGCGGGTTTGGGTAAACATCTATCGCACGAGTCATTCCTGAATCTGTCATTTGAACACTAAATACACACAGAATAAAGAAACACAGCCCTTGGCCATTTTGTGGATTATATGAGCAAGCCATAGAGACCTCAAGCGTGGTATTTCGAGCGGTAAGAGTGATAAAAGGTGTAAAATATGTATTTGGCACTAACGCGGTGACAGCAACCCTCCAATCACACGGTCCCTAACGCGTTTATCATCGCTGGCAGTTGGTGCAGCAGTCATAGCGGATAGATCTTTAAAACTACAAGGGCAATCTTTATTGTTAGAACATACGATCGATGACGATCGATGACTGAACTTCGTAAATCGTTCCAGCATAATGTGCACACATTACTTACACATCGTACATATAAGTCGATGCTTATAATAACTGATCCCGTTGTACGTGATAATCTCTTACAGCTCTGCTTAATTTCGAAGGGGGACATTGCGAAAGGTTGCCTTCTTCACTCGAATAACCTAGTTCGATATAGAAAAGTTATTCGATGAAATCCATTGGCTGAAACTCGTCTGCTAAAATCATGTAAAGGGAAAATACAGCTATCGAATAGATCCAGTCTGTCGATGACATTGCTTGCCTTCAACAGCTCACTTCATTAGTCCGGAAAAACGACAGGCCTAACACGGCATCGCCGTTCACTCATGAACGAAACCCTTTCTCTCAGCAGGCTTTGTCTTGGTCGTCATTGTAGCTTTGAGAAGTAAAGAAATTGCAGTCCAAGCACCTTGTTTAGTAAACATATTCCCAGCCTAGGGGGAACGAACGGAATAGGGTCTGTTGTGTATCGTATCGTATCTTGAGAAGAGCTATTCGGTTGAACCTGTTGTCGACTAGGTTCGAGAGCTTTGGTGGTTTTCCTTAGCCAGTAAGCTTACGCGATAATGCCCAATGTGTGGCAGCCCAACGAAGGACGCGTCCTACAGAATGTCCTTCTAAATTATCATCGTTGAACATAAAAGGCAATGGAAAACTTGCGTAAATCTTTGATAAGTTAATCGTTAAATGAGATAGGTTAATCGTCTGAATTCGTTCGACACTCGGAGCACATTGGAACACAGTGCCAATTCGTCGTTTACTTGCATTTAGAGAAATTTGTTGTAGAACGATGTGCGGCTCGAAAATGAGTCAGTCAACTTATAAGTTGCCTAAATGTTACAAGTTTATCGTCGTGAATTACTAATTTTATCGGAGGGTCATTCTTTCCAGTTCTTGAAGCTTGTCCGTGGAATATTCCAAAGCTGTAGATAACGCGTGTTCATCATATAGTAAAAGCGGATTTATTGTTATGTAATGCGTTAAGTATGATTATTATTGCGTAGTTACTCACATGTACCTTGTTAGGCCACAGAAGTATATCACGTAGCTTGCCTACTTTTGTGACAGAGAGCCTAGATATCTGTCCCGCTTTTGAGATGTACTGTCTGTTTTTTTGTATGCTTAAATCTTTGTTGGCGTAGCTTGATATAAACATTGTGCGACACAGACGCGATTCTACGGCATCAGATAGGTTACAAATGTTTTAAATTGATGCTTTGCCTTTGTCAATATTGCTCTAATCTGCCACTTTTTTAAGGAAAATACTTCTAAATCCTTTTTACAGCTTCGATGTTCTCGCTAAGGAAGAGTCTCCATAGGGCACAACAGATATGTTCGAGGACAACTAACCCAAAAATATGGGTCGTATTTAGTCTTATTGTGACGACTGTATTCGCGAGTGGAAACTGTGAAAAGCAGTCTACAACACGAATGCTGATTGAATGAGTTATGAAATCGTCTGTAACTTGAAGTTAAACTCTGTCATCATTTCGATAGCAATTTCTTGATCGATATGGTAATTAATAGAAGCGTATTATCGAATCGACGTTCTTGTGTTTTGTCTGCAGTACAGAGCGATGCAGATTTAGCCGCAGATATCAACTTATCACTCCGTTGCCACCATTTTGAAATGTTATTAATGATTTCCGTTATTAACAGAGGTTGCATAGAGTCTGTAGTCGACGGGATTTGAAGTAGTGACCTATTTAAAAATACGATAAGCTACTGCTCGCTCTATAGGGGCCCACCTCTGTAGGGGATTCTATAGTGGTAAAGGTTGAGGTGGTATCTCGTGGTATTAGCTTAAATTGTGTCAAATAGTCATTTGAGAGATGTTTAGCGCGGTGGGTCAACCCAGGACGCCGAGTAGATAGTCTTCAACTAATAGCACTGCCTACGATAGCTTTTAAGCTTGCATTTGTTGAACAGCTATCATCGACATGTGATACTAGGCCATTGTTATCCAGGTTGCGTTTCCCACCTGACTGTACACTGTAGACTGCGTCACAACTTCGGCTGTTTGAGACCTGAAACCTAACCTAGAAAAACTGCCACCTCCTTGTATAACAAAAGCACAATGCAAGCCAATGTAGAACAGCCGCTAATGTTTTTTGAAGGTACTTTCTGTCTTCAGCGAAACAGTTCGATACGCACAGGTGTGTCATCATCGGTGATAGATTGAACGTCTGTAATCTATTAAGAGCATCAGATTATATGGATCATGAGCGCGTATGTTATACGTCGCACCTTCGGTCTAAGCTAAGCTACCCTATCAAGTATAGACCCTATTAATGCAGATGTTTACACACGCAGGCCTTAGCAGTGCCATACGTTTGCTAAATTATTAGCCATGCTTTCATAGTGCCCCCCCCGATAAACTCACTCTGTCATTAACTTCACAAAAGCCATATTGACCCGACGTCGCATAACAGAAATTTTTCAGGCCTTCAAGAAGAGAGAATCTGACGTTCTGAGTAAGACCCGGCTTGCTATTCAGTTTCAGATCTGATCTGGTGTCTTTATGAGAAGGCCGGAAAGATAAAACTGACGTTTTTTTGTTGTCGTAATTTTTAGTTTTTACAATGCTTCAATTAATATGAAAAATTTTGCAAAAAGTTACGACGCGAGCAGGAACGTTGCATGTAATTATCGAACGAAGTACACCGTACTTGCGCCTAACTTTTCGTTTTGATTGAATGCAGTGGTTTTCGTCGATGAGAACCTATCTCTCATACGATAAATTTTCGGAGATATGTAAGAAAAAGGAGTTGAAAACCATCATTAAAATGCCTTGCTAAAGCCTTATATCTACCGTATAACAATCGACTGCCCTGGTGATGAGGTATATCGTGGGAAAAATTACAGCCATCAGGCTGACAATTAGACTTTCCCAATTCATTTGTACAGGTGCACCCCGTAGCTAAAAATGTTCACCAAAGTTATTATTAGACATTGTGATTATCATGTATTTCTTAATGGCAGTATTGACGCATGGCACAAAGAATGAGGTGATACTATAAAATGAAATGTCCGGATTGACTTACTTGTGGCAAGCGCAAGTCTATGAGTATCCATATCCAGGCGAGGTAAAGAAAAAAAAATCACTGACATTCTTCACTCGCATCAATCGTCTTCAGAAAGTTATATATGCAAAGGACCTAAGGTTTCTTACTACGAGAATGCTTCTATTCTTTCGTCTGATAATTATCTTGAACAGTTTTCATTCAGATCTTACGTATGGTCAGTCCTATACCATACCCTAGTCTGTACCGAAGCTAGGCAATTATCAGTGCCTATAGTTCGACTGAACTCTGGATTGGTTATACCGTACCCCAGTGGATATCATCATTATCTGAAGACCGGTAGTGATCGTGATATATTTACAGTAACATTTAGACATATGTTTACCTGTCAGTACTGCACCTGTCTGTTCATCAACGCTGCTAAACACACGTAACGCAACATACCCCTACCAACTCTCTATCCACGCGATGTTATCGAAATATAGTTGTGACGCATTTTGTGGTGATGCCCTTTAGTATATACTATACTTGGCTACTACATAAAAATAGCTTAAATACGCGCTTTCTCTCCTTCTTTTTAGTCATCTTAGAAATCGTGTTCCTACTGGTAGGTGTAATCATTTCCGGTCTTGTCAATCTGGTTTGTCGTCTGCCCTCGGTCATGATATATCACTTCCGGCCAACAGCTCTGCTGCATTTCTTGGCCGGCCCAGGGAGTCGTCTCTAGCCAATTATTGCTACGTTATGTGATGCGAAGAAAGGTACAAGGGGCAGCGCAATGGAATAAGGACAACCGATCACCAGTCGTCATTTGGTGAACTAGTCCACGCGATGGCAGCCACCATTTTTCGAGTTCGGGAAAAGTGTAGTAGGGAAATGTCACTATCTCTATTTCTTGCTCCCTTTGAGCGTTCGCAGTCCGTCAATATGACATCGATGACATTTCTGCAAGCCCGAGCCAATGACTCGCGCGCTCACCGAGCCACCGCAGTTGCCTGTCGCGCCCAGGCTGTTGAGTAGATGCACCACTAAACAATGGATACGCTTTTTGTCCTTGAAAATATCGCTTAGCTTCTGACAAGTACGGGAAGCCAAAGCTAAAAAAGGAGACAAAAACGGAACAGAGATGAGGAAATATTCCCACACGCGTAGATGCCATAGTATTTGCAGAAAGAATGACAGGCTCAGGAACCCAGATAGATCTGAAAAGATCCCGCGTAGTAAACAGACGATCTACAATCATTGTATTGTGTGTATAAACTCGTACATCTAGATATGTATATAGTGCCTACGTTTATAACGTATGTATAGTGCTATGTATCTAAATACTGGCGGAGTTTGTGTAGGATATACGACGATCTTCTTGATCTACATTTCTATTTTGCTGTCACTACATAAATTGAGCTTAGCTAGAAATAAAGAAACCAAAAACTGCTCATTTCGTTTTCGTCATAAAAGTGCAGGGACTCAACGCTAACGACACAAATAACACGACAACTCCGGGATCTAACATAAATTGTTACTAAGATGCGCCACAGCTTTGGCCGTATTTCATAGTCTGGCAGGCTTTTGTTCTCTGCGAGGTCTTCGTCTTCTGCCGGTGGGGGGGGGGCGATCGCAATTCATTTGACAGTCGCCTTTCCACCGCGTCTCTGTAAAACAGGAGTTTATAAACATGCACCATGTATGTATGTAATACCTGTCTCCCGGAAAGTGAGCGACAACATTGTTTGTGTACCAGATCTACACGCTGCATAGTTAGCCACAGTCGTTGTAACTTTTCCGTATCACTTTGCAGGTGCTGGTCATGGCGGCGACAGTGGTAGCGGCAGCTCGAGTGCCAGTAACAGAATGAGAAAAAAAGATGTACTGAGTAATAAAGGTTATACAACTTCGGTCAGTCTGAGTGTGAAGGTCTAAAGACTATAGTTCGGTAGGTTCGTGTGTTATGAGAGCCTTTCACGAAGCGAAGTCGAGCATTAGGACGTTTACGAGGGTGTTACCTGCTTCCCTTGTAGCGCATACACGAAGGTGAAATTAGCTGAAACTAGACAATGACATGGTGGAAAGCAGAAGCCCGCAATCTCGTTTGCTCCAGGGCAGTATACCATACACCTCGGAAAGAACCGCTATCGCTAGACAGGGCTCGAGCCAATAGCTATTAGAATAAAAAGAGTTTGTTTTAGGTACGCAGACCGAACGAATCGCATTAAAGGCTTCTGCAATATCAGCGATTGATTAGCCATTCTGTTGACAGGAGCGCTATAGCTGTGAAAAATGATATGATTCTGTACCAACAGAATCCTATGATTTTTGCAAGCAAACATTTTTTCCCTTTCATCGATTATAGCGTGAAATAGTGAATACAAATTTCGAAAAATTTCGAAGCATACCACAGAATTGACAACTGATGGCACTTAACATTTCTGCCACCAAACTGAGATAGATCAGTACGATTACTCTGGCTATAAGATGTCGAATGTATAAACTAGCTCTCCATCAACAACAAACTCCATCCAATAACAAAATCCATCAAACTTTACATATTTATATCGTTAGAGGAACGTTTGCACTCACTTACTGATCAATACGTTATCACATAGGATATAAATCTCATGCGCTTCCGCTTTGATGAAATCGACAAGACTACCCCAAAATCGTCTGCTAATTTTTAGTGGCGGGTACTTTATTGGTGGTTTTACGGTTTAGCACCACACAGCTGGTCAAATTTCCACATTGTAATATTCGTCGTTTATTCGAATAGAGATATCCTACTATGCGTGGACAAGAAGATTAAACGCGTTACAAATAATATTTATCTGTTAATTTGCAGTCCTGTCGTCCAGCAGCGGACGTCGATTTTTCTGTCTACCTCAAATAGGTGTTCTTCTAAAAACCAAGGTTTTTTTTCTGATAGGCGCAAAAATATACAAAATGCCTTATTGGCTCAGTATGCTAATTAAGGGAGACGGCTACTTGGCGTTCTATGACGATAGTAGAGAGTACGAGGATAGCATCACTACCGCTACCGCGAGTATTAAGCGCTTAGTACGAGTGGTAGTACGTCTTTTTACGATCTAAGTTTTCCGTTGCAAACAAAAACGCATCGACAGCGGACTTAACAAATATATTATAAACACACATGCTAGCATTAGCGAATGTTCTTGCATGAATACACAGTACTATATCAGCAAATCGAAAACCCCTCAATGAAACGAAGTCATCGGTGCATTAGTGATTGATAACTTCGAAGAAACGTGTGTTTCCTGTAGTACATACTGTACGTGTATGGCGCTACCTGTCTTCAACGAAGAACGCGGACGTACTTAAGCTGTGCTTGGGTGAACGGTGCGGGCAACGGCGTTTGAATGTGTGGGAGTATTTCCAGATGTCCTTTCTGTTTGGTGCGTCAACGTTGCTGTTGCTCAGACTTATGATAACAACAAAATACACCGAGTAATAGTGCATGGTCCGCCTTCAAATGACTCACTGTGAAGTGAAGGCCGGAAAAAAAGGGGCCGCACCACCGTGCGGTGATTGCCGCTGTAGATTCAATAGCAGTATCTCTTCGTCACTAACTACCTAACGTAACTTGCGTCGTTTATTAATAAACTATTTGTATAGTGTTAACTATAGGCGCTATAGAGAGACGCACGTATACATGTTATTCCATCATGTCAGGCTTAACTAGTTACTCTACCTGTACACTGTACAGTATACAGATAGAGTAACTAGTTTGTTGTAGTTTGATAGAGTATACTGTATAGGATACAGTATACTCTATCAAATGAAATATTACTGGCCAATTCTGCAAGGGTGTATCCTGCCAAGTTACATTCGCTGCCATGTCAGTTACGGTCATGGAAGCAAACAGACATTTACTGATACTGCGCTGAATCGTTCGTTCATTTATATTTCTCCATACAATAAAAGTTAAAACTTCTCACTATCATCCAAAATGTCGTGTGTATTTTGTACATGCACAGGCTACGTTCGGCTTGATTGAATTAAGCGAGCCCCTCACCGACTATCCTTCAATTAGATCTATTAGGAAGTTGCGTGAATAATTCTAATACGAGCTATTTCGTTAACAGAATACTCAGCTAAATGGATGAAAAGCCATGGCTTTTTCCTACATATATAATACGGGTTGAATTTTGACAACGCAAAACCGATGTATCAGTGCCAGTCCGCTAAACAACTTGTTTTTCCTTACTCGTCTCAAAGCTCGTCGCTAAACTAGGAGGATGCGCATTGTTTATAGCGGATTACATTTACTGCTACGAATATATAGTTACCTAAATCAAGGCCACATAGATATGAGGCAATTAATTCTTGCATTTCTAAGCTTACACTGATGTCCAAACGATGCTAAAAGTCGCTATGGTCCCTTCTGCAAAATTAGAGTCCAGATACTTTCAGCGGTTTGTACGACTATTATACTCACGGCTATTAACGCTCACAACTTGCGATTTGTTTAAAAAACTTCGTTGATACAAACAGGCCATAGAAATTTTAAATCAACTCATGGGCTTCAAAATTCACTACACAAAATCTGACAGAAACTGTGACAGAGACATCTGAGAGTTCATAATAATAAATCTCGGTAGATAAAATTATACTAGATGATCGCTTTCTAGGGGCACCCAAATAACGGTGATGGTGCATTTAGTAAGCCTGTTAAGTAACGTTCACTGCTGTGCGAATACGAACAATTCGCTAACATAAATTATATTGATGTTTATAGGGTTTTCTCTTAAGTCGTGATGCTATTTTAACTTTATTATAATTATATACATATATTATGATACGTTTTCAACGAGGAAGAGTTCCTTCTTAACTATCCGGAGCCGTGAAAAAGTTGGTCAAAGAAAAGGTTACGAAACGACGAGGTGCGCTGACTGCACAGAGCAGCGAAAGTAATAATAAATATAACGCTTAATGCAATCCTGACTGGTCCACAAGGTTGCCTGTTGATATCCTGTACTTGGCAAGAAAAACTTAGACCATATGTGTTATGCCTTTACTCGGTGTTTCCTGCACACTTGCTTTTCTGTGCATCGGGCAAGTTCGTTTTGTGGGCGGATGTTTGCGTTCGTAAACTGTATCGTCGAGGCAGCATCGTAGTGTAAGGATTTCTAGTTCTTGTTAGTCCTGCGCAAGTAGATAGGCAGCAAATAGAAAAGACAACTCATTGTTAAAAGAGAAGAACAAAGTTAACGCGGACAAACACATCGCCGAATCTTTTACGTTTATCACCCAAATGATAAACAGACCCCTTTTGCTGACCCCTAATCAGAGCCGTTCTTAGAATAAAAAAGCTTTACATACAATTGAAATGGATTACATCAGTTACAAGTGCTCTATAGTAGCACTAAACTTGCAGGACCAAACTCTCAGGCTCCGTCTGTTTTTCAGCGGCGGAAAATTGAGCTTGGTCTAAAATGCCTTTCAGGCGCATTGGTCTGCTAGCACAGAAATGTTAGTGTTTTGTAGCTCTGATTAAAGCAAAATAGTACAGAAAAATATTAAATAAGTCTTTAACATGTGATTGAGTTCGTTGAAAGAAATAGTCTTATTAATAAGACGCCGGAACGTTGAAGCGTCATTGTACCCCGAAACGCAAAAGCATCGGTCAAGGTAAATGGCATAAGCTATAGAGATATGCGTGAGTGAACAGCGCTACGTGGATTGAGCTCTTGCACGTTTCGAAAAAAGCGGCTCGCTTTTTCCACATTCAGGATAAAATAGTTAAACGTTAAATACTGGAATAATAAATAAATACTGAATTTTGAATAAATCACACTCGGGTTTTTTAGTTTTGCAATACAATTGTATAGAAATCTTCTATTATGGTTGAAGAATAGCGTGATACTGAATTTAACCTCAACTTCAGAGAGATAGAATACACTTTTCTTCTACTTACCCAATGAGACCACTGAAAGTGCCTCAAACAAATTGACGATGACGCGCGGTTGACGCTATAAATACAATAGTGACATATATCACCTATTTGCACTAGCTAAAGGTCATCGCATTGACGCACGTTCTAATCGTCAGATCTGAGAAGAAGCCAAAAGATTCATAGAGAAGATTCTCGATGTATCCTTGCAACACGAGACTAGACGTGACTAAACGTAAGATCTAATAGTCTATTGATAGATTGACATGATCAGGACAATCAAGCAATAGGCTCACAAAAAAAATAAATCAACCTTATACACACTTAATTTTTACTGTAGTCAATCAGAGTTTCTTAAACTAGATTCGTTTGGCAATTTAACAGTAGTAGAAGTTGCATGATTAATAGTGTTTTATTTTTATCTATAAACATGTCCCGGTTATTATCCGAGCACCATTTGTATCTGATCATCATTTGAATCAATATTGATATCTGAAGCAGCATTAAGAGCATTGAATGTCCGTTACAATTCTTAAGGCACTGTATTAAAATAATGACAGCAGCTACTTAGACCGTGCCATCCTTTACATGGCTAACCCTCGTATACCTAGTCCGAGTGAAACAGCATGTGTGTCAAAACCATTTACTTAGAATAGATGTGCAGTAAGATTCCGTGGATAAATCCTGCGAAAAAGCATTGCTTTTAACCAAATACTCAACGGCGCTAGTAGTGGCGGCGGCGGCGGCGGGTTCCAAACAATAGACGGAATTTCGAGTCCTCTTTAACCTGGGCACCTATTCGATAACGAGCACTTTTGCTTTTTGAAATATCAAAATAGAAAAAAGGTCAGGGAGAGAACAGTACATTGAACAATGCTCCGTAGATTAGAAGGACGTCGAGGTGGCCGAAGGTAACGTCGCCCGTCAGGATACAGACAGCGGAAGCCCCTCACGGAGACAGTGGATGCATACGGGATGCCGTAAGAGAACTAACGTGAAGATCGCAGTGAAACCTTGGCAATATTCGAGTATGCAAATTTTGTTGCAAAATAGCCGCTAACAATCACGGAAGGTAGTGTCTATTATAATTGGATCGTCTGTATTTGTAGGTAACGACGAAACCCATTCGTTTGGTAAGGAGGCGATAGAACAGCAGTCGAATGCTTGACTCTTGCATGGTCGCAGTACAGAGCGCTTCGGAAAGAAAGTCATTCAGACTTTCTTTCTCTCACTTCTAGCCTCAGATGGAAGCGACAGCCGTATAGATTCACGACTGTTCTGCTTTTGAATTGTATATTTCTAAAACGAATGAAATTCGCTCGATTAATTAATGCTAATCATTGCTATATCGTTAAATATAGTTTTTCACTATTTTTTACTAACAAATACAAAAACCCTATTGTAGGAAGAAAACAATAAATTTTCTAAAATATCTCATTATTCTACAAGGGTTACTGCCATCGTGCCCTTTTTTATCATTATGCGGCATTAAACTGATTGTCGGAACGCCTGAAATATTGTGAAAATATTTTGATAATCGTGATGCTCCCTTCTACTAACCTGTGCGCAGTTTGACCTGAAGTACACTATAGATTTAACAATAATTTGTGTCCGTAACCGTAACGCACAACTTTCTCCATCACGCTATTAAAATCTCATAGCATGTAGTTTCCAACGGTCGTTTAGGTACACCATGGTGAGCTGCTGATTACCGGGCTAACAAAAACTTCGGCCTAATGTTTATCCGGTTAAGAAGCGCTGCGATGACCAAATGAGGAATAATGGACCGTGGCTAAATACACTTAACGAAAAGAACCGCTGAGCTCCAATCGAAGCCCTGCCATGACATGAAGAGACGAGGTAAACGCTTCCGTAAAGCACTGACTACAGCCTATATTGCATACATCGTTATTGTAGATCAAAGATTATCCATTTGTGCCTACATTCAGGTCGTTGTTTACCCAAAACAAATCACATTGACAGCATTAGCAATAATTTGTTGCAGCTTGGCCTGCGTAGTTTATGTTAACCGAACAACTACGTTACCATCGCCACTAGACGAAATAAGGACATAACGAATAGTAATATTAATCGATTCACCCATTTCCTAACATA